CAAAGGAAAAACCTTAATCTAGAGTTCAAGGGACAAATATATTAGAAATATTGAAGGATAACTGGAAGGCCAGCAGGCAGGGACAAGGGGCCCCGCCCTAAGAGGAAACCACTCTTTACACCACCCAGGAAGGAGCCCTCCACCCCTTCCCCATGATAGGTGACAAAATCTGATTGGATGACAGGCAGAGGGAGGGTTAATCAATTGAAACAGCCCACGGACAACCCCATTAAAACCCTTAGACTTAGGAACTCTGGTGATCAACTGTTCGGGTACCCTCCGTCATTGGGAACCTTGTACTACCGCTTTGCTATTGCTCAGTAAACCCTGCTTTGCTACCCACCACTCTGTGTGGTCTACTTCTTCATTCTTCCAAGCAGTGAGACCAAGAACTGTGGGCACGAATGGAGGAAAAAATCCTGCAACAATATAATGAGGAAAATCTTGCTGGCCAGCAAAGAAATTCTGTTTTGCCTTGTTTGAGAACTTCAGTGCACATTTGACTTTGCATAAATTGCAGTAGGAATGTGCATGGATGTAGCAGGAAGATTGATTAACCAGTTGAAACCAGCAGGTGGATTCCGGTTGAATATAAGATCTCTGAGAAAGACAAGACTCACAGGAGCCTCCAGTTCAAAGTCAACTTGTCAAGACCACTCCTCCTTCCCTGGGATAACTCCCTATCTTTCTCTGAGTTTGGTTAGGGATAAGGGACGTCTTTGAAGAAGGTCAGATGCAGAGATAAATTGTTTCCCGTTCTTCAGGCTGTATAGACAAGAACCCTAGTAGTCTATTTTGAATTCCTTTGCTCCTTTTAGTGTAGTTATTCCCAAATCCTCCTAGAGACAGTATCAATAGAATTTGGAAAATCAAAGCCATTCAAAATTGAATGACCACAACCATGGCCACCAAATCAAAAGGTCCATTATTGCAAAGCCCTTTAATTTAGGAAGGTCCCTCCTAGAAAAGACCACGCATAAATTAAGTTCTCTATTGCATTTGGGATGTGAGGAGAAATGATGGTTGAAAGACCTAGATTGTTACTCTCAGAAGCAGTACATACTCTCGTGTTCTGGGGCCAGTGTTAAGTGTGATTACATAAATAAATTGCCTTGGTTATACACCTAACAAAACAACCAAATAATAACCATTAATTCTTCTTTGTCTCAAAAACACATCATATCCCAGCAAAATTTCTCTTTGGCTATCAAAACTGAGTCAGAAGCCAGTAAGGCCAAGTGGTTTGGTCACTCTAACAAAGAAACTGGAACTAGAGTCGTTTAAAGCTATGTTCTCCCTTGACTATGACACGAATCAGAAGCTTAGAGCAGGAAATGCAACCTTGAAATTCTGAGTTAACTCAGCCAACATACCTACTGGTAAAGGAGCATGTCGACACTGTCTCTGTGGATGCCCTCTACCACAAAATAGAGGTTGCAAACTTCACAAAGGTTTATACACAGCCCCACTAAAAAAAGAAATTGAGGATAATTCTATTCATAAAATGAAGTAAACCCAAATAAATGAACGCAGAAAAGAAAATGAGTGCAGGGATGAGATCCTAAATATATGACACACTGTCCTGTTCAATACTGGGATTCAGAAAGCATGTTACTTGGTGCAACCTGAGAACTTAGGAGTGGTATGGGTGCAGCAAGAATTTCCATGGATTCTGTATTTTCAACATTAGGCAAATGGCAATGCCTGTTCATGCAGTGCTGCCTTCCTAGAACCTTGCGCGGCACCTTTGAAAATGGGGCTTCACTGTGAAGTTTTACATAACATTCTTTCATAATCCTGAAGTATCTTCCAGAATGAACCCCAGTTATAATTTTGGAATGCAATATGACAATTAATTTGGGTACACGTTGCAAGAGCTGCACCAAACACTTCATTATGTCTGTATACCCACGTGCAGACACACACACAGCATTCCTCTCCAGGATTATAATTCACGATAATTTGGGGTAAATTTGGGGGCACAATATATTGATGTATACTCTACATCTGAAAAAAAAATAATTTCACTAAATAAATAATAAAGAGCAAGTTAGAAAGAATGCAACAGGTTCTTGTTTTTACCTTGTGCTTAAGTGATAGGTTAAATGTTTTTCCAGTCAATTAAACTGGAGGCTGTGGGGGAAGGAGGCGAGAGCTAGATTACATGGGATTCTTTCTAGCTCATGAGAGATAAATATAAATTCCTAGATTCTTTCCTATTGACTCATTAAAAATATAAGGTGCTCTGACCAGCCAGAAGCTCCTAATTTAAATCCCAGTTTATGCTTTGATCCAGAACAGTGTGTCTTCGCAAAGTTCCTGCAGCAGTGGGAAAGTAGCATTGGGTACTAGTGTCTCCTAAGAAGCAGCCGTTGGGTGCAGGGGTTTGAGAAGACGAAGAGAAGGCTTGTCTTCCACCTGCTCTGCCAGAGACTTGCTGCCCCCAAAGGGGCATCGAGTTCCCCACCAGCCTTGCATACCTTGGCTTTGGCCCCCAACTCCTTTGCATTGGTAAAAGCTGGAGTTTTTTCGGACCCAGGTATCTCATCTCATATTCCACACGGAAGGTGTCCCAGGAGACGGTAGGAAAAGCTATCCGGCTTTTGCTCATTTTGAACCAGCCGGTCTAATACACATTTTAGAGCGCAACCTCCCTCACCTGCCCTCGTCCAGTACCGGGTAAGCAGACTGCACCAGCCCCACCAGCCCCAGCCCCAGCCCCAGCCCCAGCCCCGCGCCAGGCGGGCGCCCCCTGGTGGCCGGATGGGCCATAAACGCAGAGGCGCCTGCGTTCACCCCAAGCTCAAAGGACTTGGGCGTGGGGCGGGCTGCCCGGGCCGTGGAGGCCCAGTCGTCCCTTAACCTCAGCCCCAGGGACACGGCAGAGCCGGACGATATAGCCTCGTCCACCCTTACCGAGGTGTGGGGGACGTAGGCCAGCACCCGGAAATAACGCATGCCACTTCCCCTGCCATCTCTTGTTCCAAACCCAGGGCGAGTGGGGATCGCCCTAGAGAAACATGGAGAAGGCAGGGCGAGAGCGCAGTGCGGCGGGGAGCGCGCCTGGGACCGTCCAGAGCTAGAGCTCGAGAGGAGGCAGCGAGCGCCAGGGAGGGTAGCTGCAAACGGACGTGAGCTGCAGCCCGAAGCTGGGAGTCAAGCAACACGTTTTCCTAGCACTATTTCAAGAACTCTAACCCGCACGAGGGCAGGTGCTATTCGGGAGATTTGACCGTACTGCCCTGTAAAGTAAAAACATTCTGTAAATTATTAGAATTCAGTATCAGGGGCGTGGGGCGGGGGGTTAATTTCCCACCGGTGTTCCCACGTACAGGCACGTTTCTTAGTAAACGAACGGCAGTTAGAGCAGTGCATACCTATGCATTTTCTATCTTAATATTTCTACATTTTCAAGCGGGAAAATGCACACCGCCTTCAAAATGTACAATAGGATCTTCTTGGGAAATATTCCAGGTGACAAGGGAGAGTCAGAAATGAAGGATGACTCCTGGTTAAGTGAAGGAAGTCTGCAGTGGAACAGTAAGCCCCCTACCATTCCAGAAGCCCGGCATGTCGACCTTGAGTTATATCGTGTCTGGTGTTATTAACTAATTTTTAAAAGGCTGAGAGTGTAGAATTTCCTTCAGCTATTGCGTCAAACAGATCTTCAAAAAACCTCCATCTATAGCTAACTCTCCTTGAAAAATAAAACAAAATCTAATACTAAACTAAAAACTACAGAGCGACACCATCAAAAGCAAATCTCGGTCAGAGCATAAAGTACTTGAAACCCGAATCTGCATTCCGCTCCTCTCGTACTCGGCTCCGAGGTGGGGGAGGCGGTTTGTGCCGGTGCCTGGTGTATAATCGGGTTAATCCAGTAGACAAAGAATAAACCAATAGCCCTCCCACCTCACTTCCCGCTCCCCTTCCCCTCCGCCCCCCTCTCCCCGTCGCCCCCTCGAGGGGGAACAGAAAAGAAGAGAGGTGGGCTTGAAATGGATTCCGAACAAACTCTTAAAACCTGCAACTTGTTTTAATGCGAACACTGAGTGGCCGGGATTAGTTTTCAATGTTCATTCCCTTTTCCCAATGGCAAGGAGAAAGTTCCCTAAGTCAGTGCGAGCCTAAGGCTCGTCCTCATGGCCTCTGGGGAAACGTTAAGGTCAGTGTTTCCTTGAAACTGGATAAACTGACCCCGCCGTGCCCAGCCCGGCCCCGCGGGCGCCCCGCGTGACGGCGTCCGGGCGGCTGGACCGGCCCGGGGACGCGCGGGGCGGCGCGGTTGCCCTTTTGAATGCCTCCTGCGGCTCGGAGCGCTGGCGGGCGCTGAAGTGTGAGTGAATGTAGCCCCGCGGAGCCAATGAGCTGGGACCGGATGCGATATATCCTCTGGGACAACAACTGCTCTGTTCCGCCTCGGATCCACATGACGCCATTTACTGCTGCCGCGGCCGCCGCAGAGCTCCCTGCCTCCGGAAAGGCGAGGGCGCAGGCCAACGGCGAGCCCCCCCCGGCCGGGCCCCAGACCCTCCTCCTCCTCCTCCTTCACCTCCTCCTCCGCACCCACCGCCCCCGCCTCGGCCTCGCCGCCGCGCCTCCACAACGCCCAGTCTGCACCGCTGAGAGCCGCGCGGCGCAGCGCGAGCGGAGGAGAGGGGCCGGCGGAGCGCGCAGCGCCCAGGCCCCCGCGCCCGCCCGGCCCGGCCCGCGCCCCCGCGCCGCCTCCGCGGCGACGCGGCCGCACGACTTGGCCATCTGGCTTTAGGTTTTCTCTAAGGCGGTTTTCTTTTTCTCCTTCGCTCATCTGCCAGGAAAAGAGACTAGCCGTTGGCGCTTCGGCCTCCAATTCATTGAGAAAAAGGAAATACTCCGCGTGCGTTTCTGGAAGGGGGGTCGCCCCCAGCCCCGAACCCCGGAGTGTTCATCGCCTGGGGACTTGGCTCCGGATTTTCCTCTTTTTTTTTCCCTCCCGCCGATTGCTCGGAACTTGGACTGAAGCAGAGTTTGGAAAGAAGGGGCGAAAAGTTTGCATCGGGGCTGGATTTTATTTGCACATCGCAGGAAGAGGAGAATCCAACGGAGAGGGGTTGGTGCAAAGCCGCGATCACGGTGAGGCACGTTTGGCTCTTCCCCTCCTGGCGCCTTTGCCGGCGCGTTGTGGGCAACATGGAGTAGGTGCGGCCGGACCAGGAGTGGGCTCTGTCTCTCCTCAGGCCTCCCTTTTTCTAACCCCGCAGGTTCCCCGCGGGGATCCAGGGAGCTGCCTGGGGAGCTGCCCTTGATCCGAGCTCGGCCTGCCTCGGCGGGGGCTGCAGTGCGCGCCGGGCACGGTGTCCCCAGCCCAAGGACCCCACGCGCCCGCGCTCTGGGGGGTTGGGGTGGCGGACTGCTCGTCGCGGGTCGGCTGCTGGCCCTGCCTTGGCCGCGAATTCGGCGCTGGGAGCGGGAGAGGGAGGGGGAACACTTTGTGTTTTCCAGGTCCCCGTTGTAGGCGCCCGCATTTCTAACCTGTTCTTCTCCAGGGAAGGCAAGTCCTGGGTGAGACTGTCCCGAGGCGGGGCGCCGGCGGGACCGAGGGCGCGCGGGTCGCTCGCCTCTCGGGGGCTGCGAAACCCCGCGGGTGAAAAATGGGCAGGGTGCCGGGTACAGAGGGGAGCCGGTGCGGGTGGAAGCGTCGCCCTGCCGGGCGCCGGGTCTGCGGTTCGGAAGTGCAGCTCTCTCTTTTTTCCGTTCTCTGTGGTCGGCTTGGGTCACGCTTTTTTTATTTTTGGAAGACTGGGCTGACCTACCACAGGAAGAAAGTCATCAAGCGGTCGCGATCGTTTTCCATTACCTGAAAATAGGTGGCAAAAGAGGCTAGTTTTTTTAATTATTATTTCCTTTGATGGCCTGATGTACTTTTCCCTGCTGCTGCTGCTGATGCCTTGAATTCGGAATCTTGTGCGTTTTTACAAAGCGGTTTCAGGGTTTGCCCCACCCTTGTACTGAAGTCCTTTCCCCTTAATCCTTAGTCTGATCACACACTGTTCTTAATGGGGGTTTCTAACCACTTTCCGGGTGGGGAATGGGGGAGCGTGGGGGGTGGGCGGCGGGAGCTGCAAAGGAGGCTAGGAACGGGCAATAATCATTTTTGTTAAAAAAAAAAAAAAAAATTCTCCCCCTCCTCCCAAAGATGCTACTTTCCAAGGCAAGCAGATCTTCGCGGAAAGTTTCCAGCACAGGGATCTGCGTCCTGCACGCCTGGCTTGTGCAGTGGGGCTCTGGGAATTGTCCTTTCTTTAAAAAGCAATTTTTCTTTCAGTTTTTCTCTCCACTCAAAAGGAGATGGGGTGTGCAGATTGCAGGCGGTGCCCCTTCGGTCAGTGCATGGTGGAGTCGCACAGTGTGCGTGGGTTAGACCTCTGTCCCGGCAGTGTATCTAAGACATGGCTTTTGGCGTCAGGGCTTGAAACCTGTGCCTGACATTCGAGGGCCTTTGCCAGAACGCCCTGCGGTGGGCTGCGTGACCTCTGCCTGGGGGTGGAGTGGTTCCCTTCGGGAGCTGGCAAGCAGTTCTCTGGGGTGGGATATATTTTAGCCGGGAGGTAGGGAGGGGGAAGTATGCTCTAGCGTTTTAAGGCACGTCCCCTTCCGAGGCGTCCCCCCCGACCCCCACCCCCGCTCCGAGCCTTCCAGTCAGTCTTGGGATTCTGTGCGGGGTGAGGGCAGCTTGGCCCCTGGGCTGTGTCAGTTTCCCCCGAGAAAAGGCCCCCTGAGGATCCGACTGCGTCCCACCTGCTGGGGACGGTGTTGGGACGCAGATAGAGCCGATAAACGGAGTGAAAGCAAAGATAACGTTGTCTTGTCTGCCTTGCTGTTGGAAGTGAGATCCGGTTTCCAGCTCTGCCTCGGTCCGAATTGGGAGGCGTGTGTCACCTGCCTGTGTCTCTCATAAAAATCGGGGGCCCGTTTTTGTTCATTGTAGACTTGGCAAAGGGGGTGGTAGTTTGGACATTTATAGAGAGATTGCAGGTTAAGCGATTACATGTCAGAAGGAGAGATTGGAGACGTGACGCGAATCTTTGAAACACTTCCTGTTGTCCCCAGTCAATTTAGGCTGTAAACTATTAAGTTTTGGGAAACAGGCAAAGCAGTTAAGATTTTGGACATAATTTATTTCTAAAACAGGGAGAACAGTCTTAGGTGCAGAATTAAAGATGCTTTCTCAGGTTATCGATTGTAAAATGTTTGATCCACAAGTTGTCCAGAAGTTGAAAATAAGTTCCTGTCTTCTTTTTGCTGGTTGTTCTCGTTTTCCTGGCACCTAACAGGGTTTGAATGGATTTGTTTTTAGTTTATAACTCTTGCTACTCTATAGTTAATAATGCATGACTGTTGTGAAATTTATAACTTCCGGGGGGGGGGGGCGAATATTTGCTTTTTTGCAAGACACATTCATTCTATGGTATTCTAAAAAGTTGCAGGATACTTGCTAAATTACAATTAAAGGTATATGATGTAAAAGCAGAGTAAGAATTTCTAGGCTGCATTTATTGACGTTTAAGGCAAAAATGACCACGACAAAGTTAACCCATCTCAGATTTTGAAAAAGTATTCAGCTTTTGCATCTGGCGGCAGCAGTGTTGTGTTCTAACATTATTTTCTTGCAGTCTTTACCTTGAACCTGAACCTTGTAGTTTTATGTTTATTTGAATAGAGAATCATTACTTATGTGATTGAAACAAAAGATCAGCTTTGCGTTAACTACACATCGCAAGGTTAAAGAACTGTCAGTACCCGGTCATAATTTTTACTTTCTGGTATGGCAGTGATCATGTATGGCTATTTTAATTCCCTGCGTGGCCACTCCATTTCAAATCCTGTTCCTCTAGAAGAGTGGAAAGCGAAGAGTTAATTCAGGTGGGTGGAGAGTGAGAAGTATCCTGGCGTGTAAACCAGCTCTTTGCTCTTGATTTCTGCAGGAATTCAGATGTGTTCTAAGCCCGCTGGAGTGACCACACTTCCCAGACCTGATGGAGGCCAGAGCTCAGAGTGGCAGCGGGTCCCAGTCCTTGCTGCAGGCGCCCCGTGACATTGGCAGGCAGCGTGGGGAGCCCGACCCCAGAGATGCCCTCACCCAACAGGTACACGTGTTGTCTCTGGATCAGATCAGAGCCATCCGAAACACCAATGAGTACACAGAGGGGCCTACTGTGGTCCCAAGACCTGGGCTCAAGCCTGCTCCTCGCCCCTCTGCTCAGCACAAACAGGAGAGGCTCCACGGTCTGCCCGAGCACCGCCAGCCTCCCAGGCTCCAGCAACCACAGGTCCATTCTTCTGCACGAGCCCCTCTGTCCAGGTCCATCAGCACAGTCAGCTCGGGGTCTCGGAGCAGTACAAGGACAAGTAACAGCAGCAGTTCCTCTGAACAGAGACTGTTAGGACCATCTTTCTCCTCGGGGCCTGTTGCTGATGGGATAATCCGTGTGCAGCCCAAATCCGAGCTCAAGCCGGGTGAGCTTAAGCCCCTGAGCAAGGAAGATTTGGGCCTGCATGCCTACAGGTGTGAGGACTGTGGCAAGTGCAAGTGCAAGGAGTGCACCTACCCTAGGCCTCTGCCATCAGACTGGATCTGCGACAAGCAGTGCCTTTGCTCAGCCCAAAACGTGATTGACTATGGGACTTGTGTGTGCTGTGTGAAAGGTCTCTTCTATCACTGTTCTAATGATGACGAGGACAACTGTGCTGACAACCCGTGTTCTTGCAGCCAGTCTCACTGTTGTACACGTTGGTCTGCCATGGGCGTCATGTCCCTCTTTTTGCCTTGTTTATGGTGTTATCTTCCAGCCAAGGGTTGCCTTAAATTGTGCCAGGGGTGTTATGACCGGGTTAACAGGCCTGGATGCCGCTGTAAAAACTCAAACACGGTTTGCTGCAAAGTTCCCACTGTCCCACCCAGGAACTTTGAAAAACCAACATAGCACCATTAATCAGGAATATGACAGTAATAAGGATTGTTCCTTTTTTTTTTTTTTTTTTAACACATATGCAACCAACTAAATAGTTATAATCTTGGCACTGTTTAATAGAGGGTTGGGATATCCTTCGCTGTTTGCAGTGAAATGCTTTTTGTCCATGTGCCATTTTAACTGATAATGCTTGTTAGAACTTAGCTAATGGAGCTCAGAGTTTGGGATAAGGGACTTGGGGACCCACGTGTTGCATAAGCTAAAAGCAACAGACACTCCTAGGCAAAGTTTTTGTTTGTGAATAGTACTTGCAAAATTTGTAAATTAGCCAATGACGTTTTTTCCATTGTTTTCTCCAGAGATAATGTGCTATATTTTTGTATATACAGTAATATTCGCAACTGTGAAAAACAAGTTGTGCCATACTATATGGCACAGTCACAAAATATTATACTAATATGTTGTACATTCGGAAGAATGTGAATCAATCAGTATGTTTTTAGATTGTATTTTGCCTTACAGAAAGCCTTTATTGTAAGACTCTGATTTCCCTTTGGACTTCATGTATATTGTACAGTTACAGTAAAATTCAACCTTTATTTTCTAATTTTTTCAACATATTGTTTAGTGTAAAGAATATTTATTTGAAGTTTTATTATTTTATAAAAAAGAATATTTATTTTAAGAGGCATCTTACAAATTTTGCCCCTTTTATGAGGATGTGCTAGTTGCTGCAAAAGAGGGGTTACAGATGCATATGTTCAATATAAAATAGAAAATATATTAACGTTTGAAATTAAACTGAATTGTTTTGTCTTATTTTACCTTCTCTTTGTTTTTGGGTTTTTTGTTCTTTTTTTTTTTTTTGAAGTGAAAAAAACCCACATTTCATGTTAAGACTAGCATTTCAATGAAATAGTTTCACTTATCTACAAGGCTCTTTAAAGGGGAGATTCAGGGATTTTTCTTTCCCCTTAGAGATAATTCTGGTAATTGGGAGGAAAATAACTGAGCACTTGACTTGGGTGTATTAATCCTGAGATCATTGTTCCTGTTCTTTCCTTTTATAGACTGTTGGCTTCCCTCTGTTTTGCATGTTAAAAAAAAAAAAATGTTAAACTAATTCATTCTGGAGACTTCCCTAAAAGATTAACAACAATTAAGGTTCTTTTTCTTTACATACCGAATTAAGTATTATGAATAGCCATGAGGCTAATTCAGGACCAGAAAAACGAGTTTAGTACAACATTTATTGACTGTCCTCTGCCCGGTATGCAGTATACACAGATCAATGCTTGTAACTGAGGCAAAAATGTTTTCTTGACTTAGCTGATTGTGGCTATGTTTTTTCCAGCTGGTATGGTTTTAGACTTAAGTTTATCACCATGATACCAAAAGTTTCTTAGGTTAGAAAAGACATGAAAATTATAACTTGTTTTGATTCAGGTGTTGGCGATCATAAAATCTCATCCAATATTGGCCTAATAATTAAAGCCCAAGGAAGCCAATGGAGAGGCCCTGTCTTATTAAATCAAATGTTCCAGAAAATTGTTAAATTCCACTTTGGGGGAAAAAGACGCAATACAGCAAAATCCAGTGTGCTTGCATTTGTCTTTTGGGAGCAAATACTCAGCAAGCTGCTGCAGCCCATCTCGACAAATCCTAGGTTTACTTACTTGTAACAAGTCATTTGATTAATTAGTCACTTTGTGGATGATGATTTTTTTTTTCTTCTGAAGCACAAGCTCTTGCTGCCAAGACTCACCGGAAGTCTAGAAAATGATTTACCTATCACTGTTGAATCTCGTTTCCTGTTCTGGGGCTCCTTCTCCGGTCTTACCCTAGTACAGGTTGTCTTCTGTTTTGTTTTTTTAAAATTAGCTTTCAAGGAAATACACAGCCTCATAAACCAAGACATTGCTCTGAACTTTCTCCAAAAAACACAAGGTTACATTAATTGAGAAATTATTTACTCTAGTTTCAACTTTGGGATAGTGAGCATTGCAATTCTAATACTCTTAGATTCAAATCCCTGATGATCTATGAGAAATTAATGTTGGAAAACAAGGCAGGGTTTCTAATTCATTGTATGGTTCTCGGGATTTGTAAAGCACAAAAATTTTGACTAATTGGCTTTATTTCTCCACAGCTGCCCTATGCACTGATTGGACTTACTCAGTATAGAAATTGCAAGTCATTTTTTTTTTCAGCAGACAAGGAGCTTCCCAAGTCTTCCGTAGACCTATTGCATCAAATGAAGAAGTAGATTAAGACCCCTCTGCTGTGGTTATTCAGAGTTGTATGGTGTGACCTAGCTATTTGTATTTTTAAAAAATCACTCCCCTAGTCATGTCTGGTTTGAGAACTACTGACCTAGGAACTGACTCCTAATTCAGTGCCCCCCCCTTTTTTAAATGGGATAGATGTAAAGCATAATTCCCTAGTTTGAAATAGTAATAACCAACTGAAGTTAGAAGATTTGTGTAAGTCTATATAAAGTCCTGATGAAAATTATTTAAAGATGAATAGGAAAATTGGATTCCTCAAGAAGCTTCCAATGAAACTATTAAACATTTAGTATATATACCGTATAAAATTCATTTTCAGAATATGGAAAGTTAAGTGTTTATGCCCAAACAGGTGGTACTCACAACCTAAGTGTGTGAAAGAGCTTTTAAATGTAGCGCATCATCTCGTTGAGATGGAGGAATAACTAGGTTTTTAATCTCTGGTTCTTGAAGATTCATATATACGTACATTGAGTTTATAATCCAACTGCCTTTATTTTGATACCGTGATAGGTTAAAGGTGAGAACGATACAGCAAACATGCCAGTTGATTGCTAAACATTTAGGAAGATCTTAGCTGTATTTTCTGGTTTCTTGCCCTTTTTATTTTTTTAGAAACCTGTACATTCTCTGTGTTGACATTCATTTAAGAATGACAACATGATCATTGTTAGTTAAAACATTCATTTATGTGTGTTGAGATTTTTTTAAAGTCCCTGACCAATTTCTACCATGTTGGGGCAAGCTCTGGGACTTGTCAGTGAAAGAAAGCCAAAACCAAGTGCATGTACTCGCAACCAAACTTTTGGCATAACTTCTTTCTCCAGTACACTTTGTCTCAAAGAGACCACTTGTCTCCCGGTTGTACAAGTTAAGACACTGATGATGCCAGATAAATGAATTTGATCTTTGCACAGGGTTGTGAGGTGACTGATGGGCAGTTGATGGGTTTGATGTCATTTATTAACTCTGAGCAGATAGGTCAAACTTTTCAAAAGGTTTAATGGGCTTAGAGTTTCACTTGCATTTATATCCGCAATTGGGCATTTGCAAATTTCTCTCCTAAATGTGCACAAGGACCAGAGGCAGGTGCAAAAGTCCCAACTTTAGAAACTGGTTAAACTGTAGGTCAAAAATAATTCATCACCTTGGGCAGTGTATTTCTTGCTATTTCAGTAAAGAAAAATAAGAAGGCATTAATTTATTAACTGATACATCAGTATTGTATCAATCTTGGTTTTCAGTACTCACTATGGCAAAAGTTCCGTTAATTTTCGTTTTAGTTAAAGACAGTTGCCATACTTCTCTGTGACATATCAGGAGTGGGGTGTCCATCGATTGAAGACCAAAGCAGAATTTTAAAACAACTGTTAACTGATCAAAGCAATGTTATACATCTGGATTATTTAATCACTGGTATGGTTGTTCCTGGAAGGATAAAGCCGTCAGACTATATTCACCCTATACTTGGGTGCCCCCACCCCATACATCACGAGACAACCAAGTGAATAATGAGAGACAAAATGTGAATACCACTAGTGATAGTGCACCTCTGGTCAAAATTAAACTTGAGATGTTCACTTAGAGTCAAAAAAGAAAAAAAGGGAAGAAAAGTAGAGCAAATAAAAGATTAGCTTTGAAATTATCCATGGCTAGTCGATGTTTCATACTGTTAAAGATTTTTTTTTTTTTTTTTTTTTGAGAGAGAGAGAGAACACAGGAAGAGTGAGAGGCAGAAGCAGATGCTCACTGAGCAGAGAGCCCGACATGGGACTTGATCCCACGACCCCAGGATCATGACCTGAACCAAAGACACTTAACAAACTGAGCCACCCAGGTACCCCCAGCATTTCACATTGTTATCTAAAACTGCATTTTGACTGACCTGAAGAATTTTTAATGAGCCAAGCTTAGTTGGCAACTAACTTTTTTTTCTTTTTTCATTTTTTTTTAAATGAACTGTTAAAGGAAATTAGAAAGAAGCCTATCACCTAGGCCTCTGGTTTGGCTAGAGGAGGCAAGTAAGACTTTGGCAGAACTTTTTTTTTTTTTTTTTAATAAAGATTTTTTTTATTTATTTGACATAGAGAGACATAGTGAGAGAGGGAACACAAGCAGGGGGCAATGGGAGAGGGAGAAGCAGGCTTCCCACAGAGCAGGGAGCCCAATGCAGGGCTCAATCCCAGGACCCTGGGATCATGACCTGAGCCAAAGGCAGACACTTAACGACTGAGCCACCCAGGTTCCCTGACTTCAGCATACCTTAAAGGAGTTTATTTCTCAAAACAATTCTAATGCACAGAGAAGAAGAAATAATTTGGCTTAATACAAGGACCCACTTGGAATAGAACTTGGGCTCCAAAATCATTTGGCATTTTGATTTTATTTGAATGTCTACTCTCCACAAATCATAAGGCTAGTCAATGCGGTACAAAAAGAAAGTTAGCACCTTTAATGCAATACAGGACTTTCGTAGCAAAGGCACGAGCAAGGCACTATGGGAATACAGAAATTGGAAAAGCACTGATGCGTTCTCAGTAGTGGGTTTGTTCTCCAGGTCTTTGCAATGGCTTTAGCTACTCAAATGCCAGAGTTTTGCTAAGAGAGATGCAACAGAGTTGGTGTTAACGCATTAAATAAAACTATGTTCCCTATGCTCATATCCTAAATCTTAAATGAAACTTAATAATATTTGATAAATATTGAAACAGCTTTATCCCGCTATGTTTATTCTTAATTTTAAGATTCATGATTCACTAAAACCCCTCCCTTAAAAAAAAAAAATAAAGGGCGCTTGGGTGGCTCAGTGGGTTAAGCCTCTGCCTTCAGCTCAGGTTATGATCTCAGGGTCCTGGGATGGAGCCCCACATCGGGCTCTCTGCTCAGCAGGGAGCCTGCTTCCCCCTCTCTCTGCCTGCCTCTCTGCCCACTTGTGATCTCTCTGTCAAATAAATAAAATCTTTTAAAAAAATATGGATAAAACATACATTTTAAAGATACACAACTATGAAATGGGTTGAAACGACTTGTTCTGCCAGTGTTTGCTGAAATTTACCTCTTGTCATTAACCCATATTTTTCGCTTGCTTCATTACCTAGAGAAGGATAAATACTTCTGAAGAACAGATTGGGGATAATCAAGCAGAGTAAAAAAAAAAAAAAAAAAAAAGCAACTGTGATAGTGTGAAGGGAAATGGTTGAGCTTTGGAACAAAACTGCCTTTGCTGAAACACAGTCTCTGAGACCTGGCTGCTCAGGTTCACGTGACAAGGTCCAGATGACCATCTCTAGCACTCAAGGTAATATTTACATATTTTGAAATGGTGGCTTTGTGCTCCAAATAACATCTGGTTTACTGATTTGCATCAATAGGACGTACAGTCAAGAGGGCTCTGATGAATTCCACACTTGCACCAACTCTCATTACTCCAAGTTCTTCATGGGCTCAGGGCACTCTTTGTAGCCCAAACCCAGTTTTCCTGCTCAAAAGTAGGCACAAAGTAGTCCTTTTATG